AGGCGCTCCAGGGCAGCTGATTAAAATCGTGCGGGAAGAGATCGCGAGAGGCCGGGAGTTCAAGACCCGGCTGAGCAATATAGTAACCCTCCCCCGCCCCCCGCTCCCCGCCTCTCGCCTCTACTAAAAATATATATATATCCTGCGAGCGATAGTGTTTCCCAAGCACTTGGGTGCTCTGGGCGCTGGCCCAGCGCCTTAAAGCGCCGAAGTTACCCCTGGCCTTTGAATGCTAGGCTGCAGAAAGCCACAAGACAGGGGTTCTCAAAGTGAGGTCCCAGACCAGCTTCGTCAATGTCTCCTGAGAACTAGATACACATTTTCGGGCCCACTCGAGATCTACAGAATTCCTTTGGGCATGGAGCCCAGCAAACTGCGTTTTCAAATGACCTCCTCTGCCCCCACGCGCCCGAGTTGCCCGACCAATTTGAGACCCCAGCTCTGGCGTCTGATGGTCTCTAGGACCCCTAGGGTCGCAGTTGTAAGTCCCGGCTGCCCGTTGCTTGGAATGACCGGGGAAGCTTTAGGGACTGTGGCTGCCCCAACAGTGCCCTGCACCATTCCAAGATTCCAAGAGCAGCTCCCGTGTGCAGGCTGGGCATGGGCTCCAGGTCATTCCAGGGGCAGCCGGGACGGGGACTGCTGCCCTAGGGTCCCTGTCAAGGCTGACCTATGCACTGAAGAACTGGTCGCCGCTGCTACGTAGCAGGAATAAGACAAGATGACATCTCATAGGGCTGATTTGAGCACGAACATATCACATCTTCTTCAGTTCCCGGAGCAGTGCTGGAACGAAAGCTCTGCTATGATCCCCTTTCTCATGAGGACATGGAGGCACCAAGAAGTCAAGTAACCAGCCCAGGGTCACACAGCTTGCAAGGGGTGGTGCTGGGGAAGCCAGGCAGGTGGGCTCCACACTTCACCCAGTTCTCTTCTCCTGCTGTCACACCTTTGGGCCTGGGAGGGGAGTCTCACTCGGTCTCCCAGGCCAGAAAGAAGTGGTGTAATCTCGACTCACTCACTGCAACCTCCGCCTCCCAGGTTTAAGCAATTCTCGTGCCTCAGCCTCCCGAGTAGCTGGGATTACAGGCACCTGCCACCACGCCCAGCTAATTTTTGTGTTTTTAGTAGTGATGGGGTTTCGCCATGTTGACCAGGCTGGTCTCAACTCCTGACCTCATGTGATCCACCCACCTCGGGCCCCCAAAGTGCTGGGATTACAGACGTGAGCCACCTCGCCTGGCCCCTCTACCCTCGTGTCTCAGGGTGGCATCTCTCTTGTCCATGTTTGTGTTCTGGAATCACCGGTGACCTCTTATTTTCCTCTTTGGTGATGAGGAGCAGCTGGGCTGGTGTGGATAAAGGCTGATTCGGAGACCAATCTCTGGTGTTCTGCGCTTCCTCTTGGAAACCTTCCTACCTTTGAAACCATACCCCAGAGGCATCCAGGGGCTGACCTGCAGGTGCTGTTTGAAGCCCTCTGGGATTCAATATAATACTGAACACCCTGTTCTGTCTCAGTTACTAGAGGGCTCCCCTCACCTCTAGGTCTCTCCAAATGCTCACAGTGGGGATGCTGGGAACAGGAGTTCACTAAAGGTTGCGTTCACTCCAGGGGGAACAAATTTTGACTCACTAGGGGAACAGACTTGCCCAAAGCCTCAGGGCCACCTGGAAAGGCTATACAAATAAGACCCAGGGATGCCTAGGTATACAAATAAGACGGGAGGCTGAGGCACGAGAATCGCTAGAACCTGCAAGGCAGAGGTTGCGGTGAGCTGAGATCATGCCACTGCCCCAGCCTGGGTGACTGAGACTCTGTCAAAAAAAAAGGGGGGGGGGGGAAGAGTGGGCGCCGTGCCTCAAGCCTATAATCCCAGCACTTTGGGAGGCCAAAGCAGGTGGATCACCTGAAGTAGGGAGTTCAAGACAAGCCTGAACAACGCGGAGAAACCATCTCTACTAAAAACACATAATTAGCCGGGCGTGGTGTTGCGCACCTGTAGTCCCAGCTACTCTGGAGGATGAGGCAGGAAAATCACTCGAACTGGGAAGGTGGTTGCTGTGAGCCAAGATCGCGCCTCACTCCAGCCTGGCCACAGAGCAAGACGCCCTCTCAAAAAAAAAAAAAAAAGACCCAGGGAGATGGTACAAAACTCTGTTTCTGCAAGCATCTGTGTGTCTGCGACTGGCTTTTGAGTTTCTGCATGATAATATTAGTGTGCCCACATGGCTGAGTGAATCTAAGTGTCTAGCAGTGTGTGATGTGTCCTGCGTGGGTGAACATGTTGACATTTGCAAGTATGGCCGTGTTTGTGTGAATGAGTCTGTGAGTTTGTGGGGTGTGGGGTCTGTGCCTCTGTGAGTACATGTGTGCACTCCATGTGTGTGTCCGTGTATCTGTGTATGTGTGTGGGCAGGTTAATCATAGCTCCGTTTGTGAATGTGGGTCTGACAGTGGAGCCTGTGTGTGTGCATGTGTCTGTGGTGTGTGCTGTGCCTGCGTGTCTGGGTCTGAGTGTGCATGTGTATTTGTGTGCACAGGTGTGTGGCAGTGTGAGGGACTGACCCCATGTTGCCAAGGGCGGCTGATGTCTGTGAAATCCACACAGTTCTGTGTTAAATCCATCTTGCCGCTTGTTTGGGGTCCACGTTGCTTTCCTCCTCATGGTCCCTGATGTTCCCAAGAGCCCCCATAGCTCTGGGCGCTACAGGGAGCGGGAGAAAACCTTGCTCTGAGGCGTCAAGTCATTTCCTGCTTTCATGCCATCTTCTCCTCCAAGCATCTGTCTCTGCTGTTCCTTTTTACCTTCCAGCTCCCCAGGTAGTTCAGGTCCCCAAGGTCACGAAACCTCTGCTCCAAGGTGGGCAGCAGCAAATGACAGACCGCCCCCACCACTACCATCCCACCCAGCCTCTCTTCCTCCCACACCTGCAAATCTCCCCCTCCAGGTGAGGGCCATGGCTTGCATGTCCTCCAAACCCCACTGGTGCCTCGTTCTTGCCAGGCTGTGAGCCATGGACTACACAGCCAAGTATCCACCACACCGTGAACAAAGGGGCTCCAGCAAGGCCACACGGTGTGCCAGGCGGCAAACAGCGCCAGCAGTAAGCACTCCATTCAGAAAGGAGCAGAATGGGGCTGGGTGGCTCCCTCCCATAATCCCAGTGCTCTGAGAAGCCGAGGCAGGAGGAACGCTCGATCCAGGAGTGCAAGTGAGCCATGATTGCAATGCTGCACTCCAGCCTGGGTGACAGAGCCAGACCCTGACAGGAAGGGAGGGAGGGGAGGGAGGGGAGGGGAGGGAGGGAGGGAGGGGGAAGAAGGAAGGAAGGAAGGGGAAAGGAAAATAAAGCAAGAAAGAGAAAGAGGCCAGATGCGGTGACTCATACCTGTAATCCCAACACTTTGGGAGGCTGAGGTGGGCAGATCACGAGGTCAGGAGTTTGAGACCAGCCTGTCCAACATAGTGAAACCCGTCTCTATTAAAAATACAAAAAATTAGCCAGGCGTGTTGGGCACCTGTAGTCTCAGCTATTTAGGAGGCAGAGGTTGCAGTGAGCTGAGATCACGCCACTGCACTCCAGCTTGGGCAACAGAGACTCTGTCTCAAACAAAATAAAAAGGAAAGAAAGAAGGAGGGAGGGAAAGAGGGAAGGAAGGAAGAAGCATCGTGGAAGAGAGAACAACAAAAGAAGGGGCTGGGACAGATTTCTTTACTTCCCAGAGAAAAAAAATAAGAAACTCAGTCTAGGCCTACACCAGTTAGGTAGACAGAACTGGTCCTTGGACCTCCTCCATGAACTCCCTTTTCTCCTGCCCTCAGCAAGGGTCGAGTGTGGTCATTTGCTGTTTTCCCTGCTGGGGGTTTTGGGGACACAAAGCAATACAGAGAGAGGCCCCCAGCTTCCTCCAAACCTCCACAGGGCCTTAGCAAACCAATTTCTTCCCAATTATAAGAAGCAATTGGCCGGGTGCAGTGGCTCATGTCTGTAATCCCAGAACTTGGGGAAGCCAAGGTGGGTGGATCAGTTGAGATCAGGAGTTCGAAACCAGCTTGGCCAACATGGTAAAACCCCATCTCTACTAAAAATACAAAAATTAGCCTGGTATGGTGGCACAGGCCTGTAGTTCCAGCTACTCAAGAGGCTGAGGCTGGAGAATTGCTTGAATGCTTGTACCCGGGAAGCGGAGATTGCAGTGAGTGAGGATCTTGCCACTGCACTACAGCCTGGGAGACAGAGTGAGACTACATCTCAAAAAATAATAAAAGGGCGGGGCATGGTGGCTCACACCTGTAATCCCAGCACTTTGGGAGGCCAAAGTGGGTGACTGCCTGAGCTCAGGAGTTTGCAACCAGCCTGGGCAACAGTGAAACCCCATCTCTACTAAAAAAAAAAAAATACAAAAATTAGCTGGGTGTGGAGGCGGGTGCCTGTAGTCCCAGCTACTTAGGAGGCTGAGGCAAGAGAATTGTTTGAACTCAGGAGGCAGAGGTTGCAGTGAGCTGAGATCGAGCCACTGTACTCCAGCCTGGGAGACAGGGCGAGACTCTGTCTCAAAAAAAGAAAAAAGAAAAAGAAGGAATTAATGCATAATACACCACAGACCCTCTTTTGGGCCTTTTCCTAGTGCAGTGAGTTTCCAAAGTCCTGCAGCCAAGTTGCCCAGATGTTTGTGGCACCTGATCCAAACAGAATTCAGAGCCACACAGACAGCGCTAGCAAATCCACATCTCTGGCGTCGAGGGCCCCAGAATCTGTTTTTTGAATGCACCTTCTGGATGCTTTTACTGTACCTTATCACCAAGATCGGGTGAGGTGTGAAAACCCAGGGCCCTGTCCCCTCCAAAGCAGCAGAGCCCAGGCGCACGAGGATGACAAGTGAAGTGACAACAAAAACACATGTGTCTCCACCACCAAGGATGGGAGTGGAACGGACAGCAAGGGCCAGGTCACCCCCACAGCATTCGTCACTTGCCAAGTCCAAAGCTAAGAAATCAGTTCGTGAATGTTTTATTTCTATGTTGGCTCAAGCCTTCTTTTTAAGTCCAAGGAGGCAGTCAACATTAAGTGTGCAGGCGAAGGGAGATGGAAACAGAGGCGGTTTCCCCCCTGCCCTCCCTCTCTCCTGTTTCAAACTGAGCACCTTGAGTTGCATCTGAGAAAGCTAAAACTATGGGTGATGCCACCCTATCCTATCGATTTCTTTCCTTACATTCTTTGCGTTGCTACAAGGAATCAGTCTTTTTTTAAAAAATCAGGTGGTGCACATGGTGGCTCACATCTGTAATCCCAGTGCTTTGGGAGGCCGAGGCAGGAGGATCACTTGAGGCCAGAAGTTTGAGGCTGCAGTGAGTTACGATCATGCCACTGCACTCCAGCCTGGGCAACAGAGTGAGACCCTGTCTCTAAAAAATAACAACAAAAAAAATCAAAGCATGAGACTAGATTTTAACAAGAGAATAAAGAGGGTGCTTAGGTGGAGATGTGGGCAGCATCCACCTCCGTTTTCAAGTTCAGAGGCAGAAAGATCAACCTCTCTCCCCCACACGGAGGGAGGGCCTGTGCGCTGTCCCTAGCTCCCACTTCACAGCTGGTCTTCTTGCTCTCCCTGCTCAGCTTCTGCTCTGCCCTCAGCCCTCAGCACTCTGAGGTTCCTGGCCTCACCGGCCCTGGGGACTCTCTTGGGCAGGGTTGGCAACCGGGGAGTGTGCCAGAAGGCTCTCCGGTGCTTGCGAAACCACGAAAAGCGTCCAGGGGTCTGGAACCTCACTGTCTTGACCTGTTTCCGGGCCCTGGCTCCTGAAGCTGTCCCTGTGGTCCCTTGGGCAGCTGAAGCTTCAGCTTCCTGGATGCCTGGGGCACCTGCCCTCTGATTATGTGCAGCCTGGGCCCTCCGATTATCTGCACCCTGGACAGCTGGGGACCTTTCCCTCTGGTCATGTACGGCCTCTTCCCTTTGATTATCTGCAGCCTCTAACCCCTGGTCAGCTGGGGCCTCTGCCCTCTGATTATCTGCAGCCTCTGACCCCTGGTCAGCTGGGGCCTCTGCCCTCTGATTATCTGCAGCCTCTGACCCCTGGTCAGCTGGGGCCTCTGCCCTCTGATTATCTGCAGCCTCTTCCCTCTGGTTATCTTCACCCTCTGGCCCCTGGTCAGCTGCGGCCTCTTCCCTCTGATTATCAGCAACCTCTTCTCTCTGGTTATCTGCAGCCTCTGGCCCCTGGTCAGCTGGGGCCTCTTCCCTCCGGTCAGCTATGGCCCCTTCCCTCTGATTATCTGCAGCCTCTCCCCCATGATTAGCCTGGAAGTCTGCCCCCTGACCTGTGGATGCTGTCTGCTCCTTTCTGTGGAGTCGAAAGGAGGCCCAGTTGATCTTGGGCCTCCATCGCCTGGGGGAGGTCTGGGGCGCACAGGCATCTCCCGCGTTTCCCACGCGATCCCTGGGGCTGGTGCCCTCTGGCGCGGATGATACTCCTGCGCTCCCTGATGCGGTGGAGGACAGCCGGGCCTCACCCACCCCGGGTCCCGCCCTCGGCGCCCAACCCTTCACCCTCCGCTTCAGCTTCCCCCAGGACACCTGGCCGACATACTCCCGCCACCTGTCCGCCTTGGACAGCCGAGGCCCCAGGTTGTCCTCAAACATCGGCACTGGCCGGTTGACGCGACGGCGGGCAGGCGGCGCACTGGGCTGCTTCTCCTCTCGCCGGAGGAAGGCCTCGACCAGTTCCTCATCATCCTCGCTCTCCAGATCGCTGCCCAGGAACTTGCTGCCCAGGTAGCTGACCGGCATCCTGCGCACCGCCTTGCCCCGCCGCGGGCCTTGGCGGCTCTGGTCTCTGGAGGTCTCGAAGTCGCTCAACTCACTGTCGCTGGCATTGCTGCTGTCGTAGGTGCCCACGACCAACCGGGGCGGAGGAGTCACCATCTGCTGCACTCTTCTCCTCACTCGGGGCTCCCTGGGCTTTCTGGGGGGCTGGGGCGGGTGCGGGGTGCTCTTCTCGATGATTCGGGCCACGTCCTCCAGGGTGCGGCCTTCTTCTTCCAGGAACTGGATCAGCCGCTCCCGAAATTCTGCTTCCTTGGTGGCGGGCTTGGAGATGACTCTCCAGACGCCCCCGGCCAGCCTGACCTCCCGGGGGATGAGCAAATAATCGACGTCCTCCCCAATCTGCAGCATCCCCACCGTGGAGTCCTCCTCCTTGCGGAACACCTTCCCGATCTTCTTAAAAGTCCCCACGGGCTTCAGGGCTTCCACGAGGACGTCCAAATCCACATCTTTGCAGACATCGGGGACGCTCCAAAGAATTAGGCAGTCGGGGGACGGGAGGAAGCCCCAGGGGAACCAGCCCCCCACGTGGCTTTTCTCGAGAGTCTTTAAGATCTCCAGAGTGGTATCTGAGGTGAGGGGGCAATGAGCCCCAACAAGCTACAGTCTTGAGGGAGGGACTGGAGGCCGGGGGAGTGCCAGCAACGCTGATCGGAGAGTCTCCTCCCCAGGCCAGGGACGAGCCCACGCCTCCTATCTCTTCGCCTGTACCAAGTCCAGTGTTGACCAAGTCCTGCTCCCTTGCCACGGACTTGGAGGAATCAATTTCCAGGATGCTTACGTGGGCGGGGGCGAGGTCAGTCCCGAGGCTCAAGGCCCACTCCAAGCTGGAAACGTGGTGGTCCAGCTCCAAGTTGGGGCGCGAGAGCTGCCAGCGATTCTTCCTGCCCCAGGCACCGGGGACGCGGCTGGAACTTGGAAGAGGAATTCGCAGACAAAGACGGTCCAGCCCGGGCTATTCAATATGGCCGAGGGGCTGGGAGGCCTCAGCCGGGCCCCGCAGTTGGGTACCCCGCCCCCAGGCAGGCCGCCACCCAGCTCCAGGCTGACCTTGACACGCTGCAGCCTGCCAGGCCGCGCGCTTAGGGCTCTGCACCTTGGAGCGCAGGGGCAGGAAGTTCCTCCTCGCCTTCCCCTAGAACGAGGCCCACCTTCCCCGTCTCATCTTACACTCCCGGACTCGGGAAGACTGACAGGGGGGCTGTCCACTCCCTTCGGGGCGGCCTCCCTCCCCTCCCCCACAGGGGTGTGGCCGCGTCCCGGGCCTAACTGGGCCCATTGCTTCCCAGCGAAGCGGCTGTAGCCCACGTCAGCACCTTTCCTGAAAGGCAGCGGTTTCCAGACCTGCCCTCCGAAATGGACAAGTCCCAGCCAAACCCCGGAGGTGGCTGTGCTAGTGGATTCGACCTTTTGAGGGCCACTGGCACTATAGATGAGCATGTTAAATTCACGCGACCATCGGTACCCGTACACCCACACACGTGGGTAGAGAAATGGGTACCAGGTTCTTATTGCAACAGTCCCACTGTGGCGCGTGGCACAAGGTCGGGGCTCAATGCATAGTTTTGAGTGGATGAATAACCTAAACGTTCATGGCCCGGGGCGGTGGCTCACACCTGTAATCTCAGCACTTTGGGAGGCCGAGGCGGGTGGAACAAACACTTGAGGCCAGCAGTTCGAGAGAAGCCTGGCCAACGTGGTGAATCCCTCCTCTGTACAAAAAAAAAAAAAAAAAAAAAAAAATACAAACATTTGCCGGGCTCGGCCGGGGGCAGTGGCTCAGGCCTGTAATCCCAGCACTTTGGGAGGCTGAGGTGGGCAGATCACGGGGTCAGGAGACAGACCATCCTGGCTAACACGGTGAAACCCTGTCTCTAATAAAAATACAAAAAAATTAGCCAGGCATGGTGGTCGGTGCCTGTAATCCCAGCTACTCAGCAGGCTGAGACAAGAGAATCACTTGAACCCGGGAGGCGGAGGTTGCAGTGAGCCAAGATCAGCCACTGCACTGCACTCCATCCTGAGCAACAGTGAGACTCGTCTCAAAAATAAAAAAGAAATTAGCCAGGCGTGGTGGTGCCCGTGCGTAGTCTCAGCTACTCTGGAGGCTGAGGCAGGAGAACTGCTTAAACCCAGGAGGTGGAGGTTGCAGTGAGCCAAGATGGAGCCACTGCACTCTAGCCTGGGTGACAGACCTAAATTCCGTATAAAATAAAAATTTAAAAAATAGCCGGGCGTAGTGGTGTGTGTGTGTAGTCCCAGCCACTCTGGAGGCTGAGGCAGGAGAATCTCTTGAAGCTGGAGGTGGAAGTTGCAGTGAGCCGAGACTGGGCCACTGCACTCCAACCTGGGTGACAGAGGGAGACTCTGTCTCAAAAAAAACAAAAGTGCAAAGAGCACAACAACAACAACAACAAAATCCCTAAAAGTTCATGAGCAGAGACTGCCTCTATGTGATGGTAGTGTCTTACAGTGAAATATTTCGCAGCGTTGAACAAAACAAGATGGCTAACCGTAGGCCCGGCTTATGAGGCACTTCCTATCTTTCTAAGAATGAACTTGGGAAATCCTTGCTATGACAGGAAACTCGTAACATGAGTACCATTCCCATTAGACAGCTGAGGAAACTGAGGCCCAAAGACATAAAACCACTCTCTCAAGGTCAAGTCAGGAAGTGGTTGTTTGGATTTGAATCCAGAATAACCTGCCTTCGGTGTCAACATGTGTACCAATGCTGGTCACATGTACAAGTATTGCCAAGAGTGGCTGTTTCTAGGGAGGAGGACTGGGAGTCCCCAAAAGGTGGGGGAGAGACATGTACTTTTCACTCTATACCCTTTTGGAATGATTGAATTTTTAGCAATCAAAAATGTTAATTAAAGCCTTGTGAGGTAGTCCAGGCCTATAATCCTAGCACTTTGAAAGGCCACGGCCAATGAATCGCTGGAGCCCAGGAGTTCCAGACCAGCCAGGGCAACGCGATGAAACCCCATCTCTACAAAAAGTCAAAAAGGTATTGGGAGGTGATGACGCAGTAGTCCCAGCTACTGGGGAGGCTGAGGTGGGAAGGTAGCTTGAGCCCAGGAGGTTGAGGCTCCAGTGAGCTGTGATCATGTCACCACACTCCAGCCTGGGTGACAGAGTGAGATGCTGTCTCAAAAAAAAAAAAAAGAAAGAAAGAAAGAAAAAGAAAGGTAATTAAAATACACATAAAAACAACAAACAAACTTACATAAAATCGAAAGTCAGACCACACAACGCACATAAAGGGTCGGAATGCCCAGGATGTGGGGAATGTGGGGAATTTGCAGTGTCTCAGGTAATTCTGAGACAACCAGCTCGGCAAATGTACACCAACCACAACAGTGGGACTAGTAGTAATAACAGTTAACTTGCATTGAGTGTATCTTTGGAACAAGGCATCCAGAGATATGCTGAATGGGCCTCGTTGTTAGGAATCCTCAGAGGTGCATGGTAAGACGAGTGCCATCACGATCATCTTTTTACGGATGGGGAAACCGCGGCTGGTCTGAAGTCGGAAGGCTGAGGCAGGAGAATCGTTTGAACCCAGGGAAGCAGAGGCTGCAGTGACCCGAGATCGCGTCATCGCACTCCAGCTTGTGCAACAAGAGCGAACCTCTGTCTCAAAAACAAAAACAAAGACAAAAGTTAGCAGGGTGTGGTAGCACATGCCTGTAATCCCAGCTACTGGGGAAGCTGAGGCACGAGAATTGCTTGAACCCGGTAGGCGGACGTTGCAGTGAGCCAAGATCGTGCCACTACACTCCAGCCTGAGCTACAGAGCAAGACTCCGTCTCAAATAAATAAACAAATAAACACATGTGATCTTATTTAACTCATGAAGGAGCCAGGCAAATGTTTAGGAAACGGCGGAAAAAGAGAGGGAAAGAAAAACTGCGCGGGGCTTAAGGGGAGTTAAGGTCTCAGTGAGGCCTGTTCACAATTATGGGCGTATTCAGGTTGTTTTTCTCCTGCAGAACCAGGTGGTTGGGCTTCGCTGGATTTCTCTCTGTTCCTCACTGGCTTGGTCCCAGCCGCAGCGCTGTCTCTGCCCCCGGGCCTCCCGCGGCCCCGCCCCCGCGCGCACAGTTTGTGGCCTCCGCAGTCCGGCGGTCTCCATGGCAACAAGCGGACGCGCTCTCCCGCGCTGGTCTAGTCTGAGCGGAGGCGGAGGATGCAGGGAGATGGTGGGGTTGGGCGCAACAGAGGGCGAGCCAGAGGGACGAGGGCAAGGGCGGGCGTGGGTGGCTCCTTTTTTCTGCCCCTGGTGCCTCCCTTAGGCCTCATCCCCAAAGCCAGCTTCCCTGAAAAGCTGTTTGTAGAAACCAAAAAAGGAAAGATCCTAAGGGCACCTAGGTTTCAGGAATGCTGGTTAAAGAATCGCAAGTCTGAGAGGTCACGAGAGTGCCTCCCACGTGGTGACCTCGCGAGTCGTTTGGGTCTGGTAGTCCTAAAAGGGCTTTGGTTTTGTTAGTTTTGTTTAGTGTTTTTTTTATTTGGTGGGGAATGGGGAGCGGCGCAGTCTTGGAAATGAAAACCCCAAATGTCCCACATTTTCATAAAAATTGTCAACCCCCGGCAGAGGGCGGTGACTCACACCTGTAATCCCAGCGCTTTGGGAGGCCAAGGCGGGCGATCACGAAGTCAGGAGTTCGAGACCAGCCTGTCCAACATGGTGAACCCCCCCGCCCATCTCTCCTCCGTCTCTACCAAGAAAACAAAAATTAGCCGGCATGGTGGCTGGCACGTGTAATATCAGCTACTACGGAGGCTGAGGTAGGAGAATCGCTTCAACCCGGGAGGAAGAGGCTGCAGTGAGCTGAGATGGTGCCGCTGTACTCCAACTTGGGTGACAGAGTGACCCTGTCTCAAAAAAAAAAAAAGACACAGAAAAAGCAAAAGTTACAGAAAGGTGTAAATTTTTTTCAGAATAGGATTCCTCTCTCCAAAGCCCACCTTCCAGCCTCTTCCCAAAAAGTAACCAGTAACCAGTTAAATATCGCTGTACTTTTCCAGGGAAAAAATGCTTACATTAGTGTATGTGTTCATTTTAGAATTTACCTCACAGTGATTTTTTCTGCCCATCATCCTGAATTATTTTCATCACGGCATTTACCGCTTTGTTTTTTTGTTTTGTTTTTTTCTTTGAGACCAGGTCTCACTCTGTTACCCAGCCTGGAGTGCAGTGGCATGATCGTGGCTCACTGTAACCTCGAACTCCTGGGCTCAAGCAATCCTTCCATCTCAGTCTCCCAAGTAGCTGGATCTACAGGCACGTATCACCATGCTCAGCTAATTTTTTTGTATTTTTTATAGAGATGAGGTTTTGCCATGTGTCCAGGCTGGTCTCAAACTCCTGGGCTCAAGTGATCCTCCTGCCTCAGCCTCCCAAAGTGCTGGCATTACAGGGGAAGCCACTGTGCCTGGTCCCAATCTCCACACTCAGCGGGGTGGATCACTTGAGCCCAGGAGCTCACGACCAGCCGTGGCAACATAGCAAAACCCCATCTCTATAGGGTCCAGCCCTATTGGGTTCTGTGAGTCCCTCCCTGTTGGTGCGGAGACAAGAAACTGTAGAAATAAAAGACACAGACACAGAGATAGAGAAAAGAGTGTGGGCTCGGGGGTCCACTGCCAACCAAAGCGTGGGGACCTGCAGTGGCCCCGAGTGCCTGGACGCTCTTTTATTGAGTACAAAGCAGGGGGCAGGGAAGGTAGGGTGAGGTAATGGTGGTCGGTGGTAGGGTCAGGGAACTCACGTGTCCTGAAGATAGGGGGTCCAGGACTCTCAGGTAGCTGAGACAGGAGACAAGCTAATGCGTCACCGCTCTTCGCATATTTGTCACAAATATCAAGGACACTAAGATTATGTTACCATTATTCAGTCTTAGCTTTTAAGAAAAGGAGAAACCAGGTGCAGAAGCGGAGCGTGAGAGCAGACATGGAACGTGACCACTGAAGCACAGCATCACATGGAGACAGTTAAGCCCCCGGATGTCTGCGGGTCTCCCTGAGCCATCAGGCCTTGCCACAAGAGCTTGGAGAAGCGGAGTTTTCTCCTAACCTCCCCAGGAAGGAGATGTCTTGGCCATTTCGAACGTCTCCTTCCCTAGCTGGCTAAACACCGGCGCTTTCCCAGGGCTGACGCTGCCACACAGCCGAGGCGCCCTCCAGCAGCCCTTATGCGGGCGTGACAGAGGCTTAGGGCATCCTGCCTTAGGATGCTTTCTTCACAATGTCACCTCAGTTCCGTGCTTCATAACCGGAGAGTCATTAGTACAATTAAAGGTTACACTGAGTATATATCTTTATGATTCTAAGTAACTATAAGATTATACATGATTATATAAAGGAATAACTATGTGCCTACATTTCTAATTCTTTGTTAAATAGATATTCATATGAAAACAGGCTGTGGCTTCAGACCCTTGCCACAGCACTTGCAGGGTTTGCCCCCTACACATCTCTACAAAAATAACACAAAAAATTAGCTCTGCATAGTGGTGCACACCTGTAGTCCCAACTACTCGGGAGGCTGAGGTGGGAGGAGCATATGAGCACGGGATGTCCAGGCTGCAGTGAGCCACGATCACACCACTACACTTCAGTCTGGGTGACAGAGTGAGACCCTGTCTCAAAAAAGTTTAGAAGGCCGGGTGCAGTGGCTCACAGCTGTAATCCCAGCACTTTGGGAGGCCAAGGTGGACGGATCACAAGATCAAGAGATTGAGACCATCATGGCCAACATAGCGAAATTCCATCACCAGTCGAAATACAAAAATTAGCTCGGTGTGGTGGCACGTGCCTGTAATCCCAGCTACTAGGGAGGCTGAGACAGGAGAATCGCTTGAACCCAGGAGGTAGAGGTTGCAGTGAGCTGAGACAGCGCCACTTCACTCCAGCCTGCGTGACAGAGCGAGACTCCATCTAAAAAAATAAAAATAAAAAAAAAGTTTAGAAAAAGGAGGTCTAGGAAGCTAACACAGGTGAAACCATACAGACTAGAGGGGGCAATGTGGATGTGATCACATATGCAGAAGCTAGAGAGATGCAGCCAAAACCCACGGAACTCCTGGAGCCACCAGAAGCTCAAAGAGGCAAGGAATTTCCTCCCCTGGAGCCTCTGGAAGGAGCTTAGCCTTGCCAACCCCTGGGTTTTGGATTTCTGGCCTCCAGAACAATACATTTCTGATGTTTTAAGTCATCTAGTATACGATAATGTGTCATAGCAGCCACAGGAAGTGAATACAGAGCCCCCTGTATGGCCACTAATTCCCCAGACTCCAGTGAGGACAATTTCAAATTAAAACATGCTAATTTTAGCCAGGCATGGTGGCTCACACCTGTAATTCCAGCACTTTGGGAGCCCAAGGTGGGCAGATCACGAGGTCAGGAGATCGAGACCATCCTGCCTAACAAGTGAAACCCCATCCCTACTAAAAATACAAAATAATTAGTTTGGCATGGTGGCGCATGCCTGTAATCCCACCTACTCAAGAGGCTGAGGCAAGACAATCGCTTGAACCCGGGAGGTGGAGGTTGCAGTGAGCTGAGATCACGCCACTGCACTCCAGCCCGGGTGACAAAGCGAGACTCAGTCTCAGAAAAAAAAAATGCTAATTTTATTCTGTGACCTTGTCTCTCAGGAATAATTATCCCTGAAGCAAAAGAATTCTTGTACAGTGTCCCCTGCCCCAGAAATCACATATGGGTGACGGGCACCTAGGAAGTGGTTTTTTGTTTAAGACTGAGTCTTGATCTTAAACTCCAAAGCTTTTGAGGTCTTTTCTGTCACATTGACGCTGGGGCACAGGCTGAGTTCTGTCTCCTGAGGAGCAGCACCTTGAAGTAGTCACCAGTTTGCCTCCTTTTTTTTTGAGATGGAATTTTGCTCTTGTTCAGGGTCAATGGCACGATCTTGGCTCACCACAACCTCTGCCTCCCCAGTTCAAGCAATTCTCCTGCCTCAGCCTCCCAAGTAGCTAGGATTACAGGCATGAGCCACCATACCTGGCCAATTTCGTATTTTTAGTAGAGATGGGGGTTTCTCCATATTGGTCAAGCTGGTCTCGAACTTCTGACCTCAGGTGATCCACCCACTTCAGCCTCCCAAAGTGCCGGGATTACAGGCATGAGCCACCGCACCCAGCTTTTTTTTTTTTCAGGCAGTCTTGCTCTGTTGCTCAGGCTGGAGTGCAATGGCATGATCTCAGCTCACTGCAACCTCCGCCTCCCAGGTTCAAGCAATTCTCCTGCCTCAGCCTCCCAAGTAGCTGGGATTACAGATGCCTGGTACTGCCTCTGGCTAATTTTTGTAGTTTTAGTAGAGACAGGGTTTCACCATCTTGGTCAGGCTGGTCTCGAACTCCTGACCTCGTGATCTACCTGCCTCGGCCTCCCAAAGTGCTGGGATTACAGGCATGAGCCACCACACCTGGCCAGAAGTTTGCCTTTTGGTGTCCGAGACTCCAAAACAACTTTTTGTTAGCACATGGAGAACAGACCGTCCTCTTGAGGAAGCTGGGCACGTGTCTATCAGGTTTAGGAATCTGAGATATAAAACCAGGCTAGCTCATTGCAAAGTTTAAAAAAAAAAAAAAACAACAACAAAAAACACAAAAAAACAGGCTAATGTGTTCTATGTCAACACAAAACGGTCACTGGACCCAGGATTGCAGGGAACGACACTCTGCTTTCTCCTCTTTGCTAAGTTGTTTATATATATTTACTCCTCCCTCAAATCCTGTGAAATAGGTTACTGCTATCTCCACTTTACAGATAAGATACCAGAGGTGTAAAAAGGTGACCTGGCTTGGCCAGGCTCACATCCCCCGAAGTGAAAGAGTTAGGACTTGGGCCAGATGCAGTGGCTTACACCTGTAATCCAAGCACTTTGGGAGGCCGAGGTGGGTAGATCATTTGAGGTCAGGAGTTCGAAACCAGCCTGGCCAGTATGGTGAATATGCACATGGAATTCCACTATTTGCTTCCCTAGATATTTCTCCGTCGAATGTATTTATCACTATATGACCACGTCTTCTATTTTCTGTGTTCCAATGTTTTAACACCTGGGGCATGCTGAGCCTGGAGGGACAGCTCCTCCCAGGGTCAGCTGATTCCTTGGCTTAGTAAACAACTTGTCCTTGACAGGGCTCTTCAAAGGCAAAACAACCCCCACCCGACAAAGAACAAAGGGTTCTTGATTCAACTCCCACAAGAGCAAAGCCCACACCCCCAACTGCCTCCTTGATTGGGCTCTCGTATTCTGGGTCACCACTCACCTGCCCCAATCGCCCCAGGGACGGATCCTAGACAACCAGGGTCAGCCCCTAAGCCCCAGAACCAACTGAAAGTGCTAACCCTGCTTACACCTTGCCTCACCCTTCCTTCCTGCAGAAACCAGTTCAGACTCTCATTAGGGGCCCGGCACGGCGGCTCACGCCTCTCATCCTAGCACTTTGGGAGGCTGAGGCAGGCAGATCACAAGGTTAGGAGTTCAAGACCATCCTGACCAACACAGTGAAACCCTGTCTCTACAGAAAATACAAAAATTAGCCAGGAGTGGTGGTGCATGCCTATCATCCCAGCTACTCAGAAGGCTGAGACGGGACAATAACTTGAACCTGGGAGGTGGAGGTTGCAGTGAGCCAAGATCATGCCACTGCACTCCAGCGTGGGCAACTGAGTGAGACTCCATCTAAAACAACAAAAGCAAACAAACAGAAATTAGCCAGGTGTGGTGGGGGGTGCCTGTAATCCCAGCTACTTGAGAGGCTGAAGGCAGGAGAATCACTTGAATGGAGTTTCGCTCTTGTGGCCCAGGCTGGAGTGCAATGGCGTGATCTCAGCTCACTGCAACCTTCACCTGCCAGGCTCAAGCAATTCTGCTTCAGCTTCCCAAGTAGCTGGGATTACAGGTGCCCGCACCACCTTCAGCTAATTTTTTGTATTTTTAGTAGAGACGGGCTTTCACCATGTTGACCAGGCTGGTCTCCACCTCTTGACTTCAGGTGATCTGCCTGCCGCAGCCTCCCAAAGTGCTGGGATTACAGGCATGAGCCACCGTGCCCAGACCCAAATTAAATCTTTTTTGAAAATTATTTTTCTCTTCTTTGTCCCTCTAGAGACCAAATTAAATCTCACATGGATCCCCCCTACCCCTTATATCAAGGGACAGACTATGATTTCAGTAGCATACATTTATTTGATGAGTTCATATTTGTACAACAGAGCATGTCAATCACAAAGAACAATGAAGAGTTTTAGCTGAACCCGCTTTTGAAATCAGGGGCTTACAGAGGCCAGATGCAGCCCTCCAACAGCCGGCACATTCAATTTACTTGGGAATTTTTGCTTGGGATTTGCCCTGCCAGTGAAGTAGCTCCAAATGGTGACAGTTTTACATGACAATTTGCATTGAAATCCCAGAATACACTTTGACTGGTCCAGAAAACCTTGAAAGAAAAGTGGTAGGATTTTGATTTTATGGGTGACATTGAACCACCACATACCTGCGTATCACAAATATAAATGTTATACCCCTGAAATCCACAATAAGCACAAAATACAGGCTTCATGCTGCAATATGATGAGAAATGTCACACTATCTCTTATTACACAACGGGTATGCCTTGATGGGAGACCGGCATGCAACAAGCACGCTGGAGGCTTTTGGAGCATTTATTCGAGCTCAGACTCTGCATTGCAACAACCAACACAGTAGCACAGTATTCTGAGAGTAGGTATGCCCTGGCCGGGAATTTACAAGGAATAAAACAATCATCAGAGAAGCTGGGCGCGGTGGCTCACACCTGTAATCCCAGCACTTTGGGAGGCTGAGGTGGGTGGATCACTTGAGGTCAGGAGTTCAAGACCAGCCTAGTCAACATAGTGAAACTCCATCTCTACAAAAAATATAAAAATTAGCTGAGTGTGGTGGTGCATGCCTGTAATCCCAGCTACTCAGGGGGCTGAGACAGGAGAATCGTTTGAACCAGGGAGGTGGAGGTTGCAGTGAGCCGAGATTGTACACTGCACTCCAGCCTGGACAACAGAGTGAGACTCAGTTTCAAAAATAAAAAAGATCAACAGAGAGCTACAAACTTCTTGACCATGGATTTGCAAGAAGTTCACATAGGTGTATGGAGACAGCAGGAAGAGGTTTATCCCAACCACTGCACAAGAGAAAGAGATGTTGAACTGAGGCTAGACAGCCAGCTTGGGAAAGGGACAAAACCCAGCCTTTATGGCTGGATGCAGTGGCTCAAGCCTATAATCCCAGCACTTTGGGAGGCCGAGGCGGGTGGATCACGAGGTCAAGAGATTGAGACCATCCTGGCCAACATGGTGAAACTCCGTCTCTACTAAAAATACACAAAAAAATAGCTGGGTGTGGTGGCGCGTGCCTGTAATCTCAGCTACTCGGGAGGCTGAGGCAAGGAGAATTCCCTGAACCCGGGAGGCAGAGGTTGCAGTGAGCCAAGACTGTGCCACTGCACTCCAGCTTGGCACCTGGCTACAGAGTGAGACTCTGTCTCAAACCAAACAAACAAAAACCAGCCTTCAAGGTTTTAGGTTATATCCATCAAGTGAATTCTAAAAATTCCTTCTGTTTCTTGGCACTTGCTGAGAATGTAAGAATCTAATAGGAGTTTCTGCCTGCTTAAGAGTGTGTCTCTTACCTGCGCCCTGGCCACCAGGGTAGGGGAATAGTATTTCTTGTTTTTAATAAGGGGGTGAAATAGGGGCGGCTTCCCAGAAATAAGAAAGGGAATTGAGGCCAGGTCAGAGGCTTATGCCTGTAATTCCAGCACTTTTGGAGGCTGAGGCAGGCAAATCACTTGAGGCAGGAATTTGAGACCAGCCTGGCCAGCATGGTGAAATGCCATCTCTAATGAAAAATACAAAAATTAGCCGGGTGTGGTGGCAGATGCCTATAATCCCAGCTACTAGGGAGGCTGAGGCGGGAAGATTATTTGAGGCCAGAAAGTAAAGGTTGCACCACTGCATCCAGCCTGGGTGACACAGTAAGACCCTGTCTCAAAGAAAAAGAAAAGAAAGGAAGGAGGGAGCGGGGAAGGGGGGAGGGGGGAGGGGAGAAGGAAGGAAGGAAGGAGAGAGAGTGAGTTGAATGCTGAAAGTCACAGACATGACTGACATCCATCACAATGAGACATTAGGGGTCTCTGGCGTTACAATTTGGTAGGCTGAGTGTGTGTGTGTTTAAGTTACATTTTTTAAAAGATTCAGTTCAAACCTTTGCAGATCCCTGAACTAGCAGAAGTATGCATTTTGACAGGTAAGGTGTCTTTAAGTAAATATCTGTCTACTCACATGTATTTGGATTTTACCTAATTTTAAAAATTCTTCATCTCAATGTTAACATCGTTCACTGGTAACTCTTGAAAATGGCCTCTTAATTATTTTCCTCCTTTTGGACCACTGCCTAAAAGCCTCGCCTTTTTTTTTTTTTTTTTTTTTTTTTTTTTTTTTTTTGAGACAGTTTTGCTCTTGTTGCCCAGGCTGGAGTGCAATGGCACCATCTCAGCTCACTGCAACCTTCACCTCTGGGGTTCAAGCGATTCTCTTGCCTCAGCCTCCCTAGTAGCTGGGATTACAGGCATGCACCAACAACTTCCGGCTAATTTTGTATTTTTAGTAGAGATGGGGTTTTCTCCATGTTGGTCAGGCTGGCCTCAAACTCCCGACCTCAGGTAATCCCCACCCCACCGACCCCACCTCAGCCTCCCAAAGTGCTGGGATTACAGGCATGAGCCACTGCGCCCAGCCACCTCTTATTTAGAGAGTGGAGTTCACACCTCCCACCAAGCCAAAGCTTCCGGGATTTAACTTGGCAAGACTCATACCCTCACCCCAGGCGCCAATCTGGGCAGAAGGGTCCCTCCTACCTCTGACTGCTTCTGTAAGAGACTCAGCGTGTAGAGAATGGCGACAGCTTTTCAAGAGCCAATTACAGATCAGCGAGTTCCTCAGAGGTGGAGAGCAGGCAACTCTCAGCCATGATTTCTGCTTGATATGCGCAAAACAGGGTATCCCACTCCGGACAAGTTTGTGCCAGAGTTACATTCAAGGTACATGCTTTTGAAACACAGAAAACGGCTCTAGACTTTACAATAACAGGATTTCCAGGAGGGCGCACAGCTAGAGGGGTCTGTGCCGCCCGCCTCCCCCCAGCAGGAGAGGCAGTCCCAGCATCAGGCCGCAAGTGACAGCCGAAGGGGGATGGCGGCCCTTCACCCGAGTAGGGATCTCCCTGACATGTTCCTCCTGGATCTGCGTGGGTTTTCTTCAACTCCAGTAAGAGATCTTCTCCAAAACCTTGGAATCCGGGAACCTGTTGTCCCCGCCTCCATTTTCTGCAAAGGGCGCAGGCGCCTGGAGAAAGCCTTGATCTCCATAGCAACGGTCAGACGCGCTGCTAGGTTCTGGCTCCGACTGCGCCTGCGCGGCTGGACCCGCGGGGTCTCCCGGGTGCCGGAAAATGTTTGTGGGTCTTTGAGACCCTTCCTCACTTAGAAATTACTCTCATCCACTCAAATGATACCCATACACATATCAGGTGTTACTCACACACTCTCAAATATTACCCACAACTGCTCTCAATTATACACGGATGCTACCCGCACACCCTAATGCTACCCACACTCACTAATGTGTATTTAAGTAACCCGGATGTTACCCACGTCTACTCAGATATGTAGTATGACAGTCATGGGCAAGGTTTTGGTCTATTTTATTCCCCTTCTGTATCCCCAGTGCCTGGCACACTGTAGGTCCTCAGGAAATTTTGTTGGTTGAAGGATACATGAATGAATGAGTAATCCACACTCAGCCAGATTTTGTGAACATTCAACCGTTACCCACATCTACTCAAATGCTACCTACGCTCACTCCGATGTCTCCAAGTAATTTAAATATTACCCACTCTGAGTGCCATGAAGGCAGGGATTTTTGTTGAGTTTACTCCCTTCTGTATCCCCAGCTCCTAGAATAGTACCTGGGACATAATAGGTGCACAGTAAATATCTGTAGGATGAATGAATGAGCCAAGGGCAGCCAGACGTTAACCGCACACACTCAGATGTAACTCACAAGTTAGTTAACTCAAAGATATCTACCCCTTTCACACTAGTCAGATGTTACCTGTGCTATCCAAAGGATAAGCATTCTTCCTCAAAAGTTACTCATCCACTAGTGTCATTCCTCACTTGTATTACCCACACTCACTCATACTCCTTAAATGTACTCAGGTGGTACCTACCCTCCCACGGTCATCACTCACACCCACTCGTCACCCCCCACGCCCACCCGATGCCACGACCACCACCTCACAGCTTCTTGTCCGAGGCGCGACGCCGCCGGCGGTTTTTCTTGTTCTTCCTTTTGCCCCTCTTGCCATCTCCAGCCTTGCTCTCCTTCTCGGAGGAGTCCGGAGGTGGCACCACGTCCATCCGGACAGTGGCCCCAGCCTCCGGCTTCTCCCCCACCCCAGTCACACAGCACTTCCTTGCAGGCAGCTCTCCGGGGCCTGTCTCTGGGAGACACAGTTCCTGCCTCAGGACCCGCGCCACATCCTCGACCGTCCTCCCTTCGCTCTGCAGAAAGAGGTTCAGCTTGGTCAGGAATTCGATGTCCTGCTTCCGGGGCATGTAGACCACTCTCCACACACCGCCCTTGCCCTTGATCTCCCTGGGGACCACGGCGTAATTGATGTCCTCTGTCAGCTCAATGATGGCTGCCTTGGATTTATCTTCTTCCAGATAGGCCTTCCCAGCCACTTCGAACTTGCCTAGAGGTTTGAGGGGCAGCCGAATAATCTCTTCAAATTCCTCGTGGTTGCAGTCCTTGGGGATCCCCAGGATCATCAGGGACTTGTGACTGTCCACCTCCAGGGCCTTGCACCCATGCTCCAACAGGGCAATGTCCTTCACGCCAAACAGCATCTTCCCCAACTCTTTGAGGCAGCAGTATGCCCGCTGGCGCACACCTGAGCTGCCTCGGGAATCCACGGAATTATCCAGATTGCCGGGATTTCTTCCTAAAGGCTAGGAGAGAGCGTCAGGCCTCGGGCCAGAGGCTGCTCCCAGGCCCCCTTTGTCCAGCTCAGTGACGGATGCCCCCAGTGCCTGCCTGCAGGGCTGTGCAGTGTCAGTCAGGGCTTCTGTGGCTCCCTCTGAGTGGGCTCGAAGATTCCCAGGGACTTACGCGTGCTGGAGAAGCAGAAGGCGGTGTTTGCCACCTGACTCGTGGCTCCAGGGTCCTGTGCGAGGCTGCACCGAGGAGGGTCTTAAGATAATAATGCTTCCCCTTTCTTGGCGTGGCCTCTAAAGGTCTCGCAGGCCCCAACAGTCTCTGTGGATCTGGGACTGCTGATCTCCACCAACGGAGTGTCGTGGGTGGGGCCCTGACAGACAGGGAGGCGCGTCACTGCCGGCCCAGAGATTGCCCTCAGTGCCCCGTGGCCAGACTAGGACGAGATGTGGCCGCTGCACTTGCTCCTGCTGTGACGTCACCGTCTCCTTCCACCAAATTACTTCCAGGCTCTGAGGCCTGGAAGTTTCCATGGCAACCGCTGGAGCATCGCCTCTGTCATTGGCCGCCTGGTCGCATTGAAATCAAGAGTCGGAGGGGGTCATTCGGAGGTGAGGGTTCGGCCTCAGCCATCAGAAGTGCCCGAGATTCTCCTTTGAATAATAGCTGATTCCAGGGGCGAGGGGACAGGGAATATACAAGAGGCACCCGGGAATATTTTGGGGTCAGAAACTAAGGAATTACTTTTTAAAAAAATGATGAGAACATCTGGAAAGACCCAGGAACCGGCGTGAAAGGCTCCCACTGGCCAACCCGGGACAATTTGAGCATCAACGTTAAAAATGAAAGTAACAGATTATAACCCCTTGAATAAAATTAGAACCTATGAGTTGATGTAGATATAAGTACATTAAGGGAAGTTTGTGAGGAATGTGAATAGCACATTGTCTCAAAGTACTTGCCCATATAATACTCATCAAAGGCAACAAACGTCTTTACAGTGGAATATTCTTACTTGTAGGATGGACGGACACACGGACACACACACACACGTGCGCACACTGATAGAACAATATGACAATTTACACTAAACACTCAAAATGCTTGAGGGGAATTTTTTTTTTTGAGACAAAGTCTCCCTCTGTTGCCAGGTGCCAGGCTGGAGTGCAATGGCACAATCTCAGCTCACTGCAACCTCCACCTCCTGGGCTCAAGCAATATTCCTGCCTCGGCCTCCTAAGTAGCTGGGACGACAGGCACCCGCCACCACCCTTGGCTAATTTTTGTATTTTTAGTAGAGATGGGGTTTTATCGTGTTGGTCAGGCTGATCTCAAACTCCTGGCCTCAAGTGATCCTCCTGCCTTGGCCTCCCAACATGCTGGGATTACAGGCATGAGCCACCAGGCCTGGCCCAGTACTGCCTTGGGACCCAAGAGTCCAATCCCCTGTCAGGGGCCACATATACTGATCCCCCATGTGGGTGAAGAGCCCATGGGGTTGGGGACATGGGCTTCCTTGGAACCCCCACCTCCCCTTCTGGACCATGCTCTGGTACCAGGGCCCAGAATTCCTTGCTGAAGTGACCTGAGCCACTTCCAGGACATGTGTGGGCATCTTCCCTGGCTGGACGGCACCATTGTGGTGCATATATCCAGCCTCAGTGGATGGCCCTAGGCGCAGAATTGGAGTTGAGAGGGAATGGAGCATGGAGGTGCCTGCCGGGACATCTACCGCATGCACACAAGGACCCTCGCTGGTGCGACAGGGCTGGGTGGTGCATATGTTTCCTGTGGCTGCTACAACAAATAACCGCAATCTTAGCGGCTTCAAAGAAAGCATTTTTTAAATGTGTAGAGTTATGGAGATCAGAAATCCACAAATAAGTTTTATGGAACTATATTAGGGTTCTCCAGAGGGACAGAACTAATAGGATCTATATCAATATAAAAGGAGTTTATTTATTTTCATTTTTATTATTATTATTTTTTTTTTTGAGACGGAGTTTCGCTCTTGTTACCCAGGCTGGAGTGCAATGGCGCCATCTCGGCTCACCGCAACCTCCGCCTCCTGGATTCAGGCAATTCTCCTGCCTCAGCCTCCCGAGTAGCTGGGATTACAGGCACGCACCACCATGTCCAGCTAATTTTTTGTATTTTTAGAGACGGGGTTTCACCATGTTGACCAGGATGGTCTCGATCTCTTGACCTCGTGATCCACCCGCCTCGGCCTCCCAAAGTGCTGGGATTACAGGCGCGAGCCACCGCGCCCGGCCAGGAGGAAGTTATCTATGTGCTGATACAGGAAGATTTCCTTTGTGTGAAATGATATGCTGACATTCTCACAACATATTGTTTGATAAAGCAAGGTGTATAATACTGTTAAAAACAAAGAGAATTTTATCTTTTTTTTTCTTTTTGAGACAGAGTGTATAACACCATTAAAAAAAAAAAAAAGAAAGTGAGAGAAAAATTCCTTTTTTCCCCCCCTTTTTGAGATGCCGTCTCATTCTGTCACCCAGGCTGGAGAGCAGTGATGTAATCACAGTTCACTGCAGCCTCCCAGGCTCCAGCAATCCTCCTGCCTCTGACTCCCAAGTAGCTGAAATCACAGGCGCCTGCCACCATGCCCAGTTAATTTTTGTGTTTTTAGCAGAGATGGGTTTTCACCATGTTGGCCTGGCGGCTCTCAAATTCCTGACCTCAAGTAATCCGCCCACCTCAGCCTCCCAAAGTGCTGGGATGACAAGCGTGAGTCACTGCACCTGGCCATAGGACTGGCTTTCAACAGGAAGCACAGAAAATTCCTCCAAGGGACAGGAGAGAAGGACAGGTGCACACATGGCAAATGCAGCTTTCCTGGTAAGAAGCCAAAGAAACAAATTTTATCTTATTTTGTTATTTAAGAAAAGCGTATATGATGCTTACTATATCCCGACTCTGTTCCAAGCATTTTGCAAATACTTCATTACATGAAAAGTTCTTGAGGTAGCTACTGTTATATTCTCATCCTCATCTTACAAATGAGGAAGCAGGCACAGAGGGGAATCACCTCCAAAGTCACACAGCTGGGAAGAGGCAGGGCTGCTTAAAGGTGGGCAGTGCAGGCTGCGGAACTCACATTCTTTTTTTTGAGACGAAGTTTTTACTCTTTGCAATGGCGTGATTTCGACTCATTGCAACCTCCGCCTCCCAGGTTCAAGTGATTCTCCTGCCTCAGGCTCCCGAGTAGCTGGGATTATGGGCATTCGCCACCACAACTGGCTAATTTTGTATTTTTAGTAAAGATGGGATTTCTCCATGTTGGTCAGGCTGGCATTGAACTCCCGACCTCAGGTGATTTGCCCGCCTCAGCTTCCCAAAGTGCTGGGATTACAGGCATGAGCCCCCACACCTGGCCAAGAACGCACACTCGTGAACACTACTACTCTGTAATACTTCTCTGTGCTTGACCTCCTGGGCTCAAGCGATCCTCCTGCCCCAGCCTCCCAAGTAGCTGGGATCACAGGCTTGCAGCACCATGCCTGGGTAATTTTTTCATATTTTAGTAGAGATGGAGGGGGGTTCACCATGTGGCCCAGGCTGGTCTCAACCTCCTGGCCTCAAGTGATCCTCCAGCCTCAGCTTCCTAAAGTGCTAGGATTACAGGCATGAGCCGCAGCAACCAGTCTTCTGTGCTCTGTTTTTGATAAATGACATTTTATTGTACAAATGTGTTTTATTTTTAGATGCAAGATCAGCGGTCGAGGATTCGGGCTTGTTGTGGGTACTGGGAATCTTGAGGAGAGAGGAGAGTCAGAAGCTGCAGTCTTGGAGAAAAAAAACAACAACAGAAAAACAGGACCAGGTGCTGTGGCTCATGCTTGTAATTCCAGCACTCTGGGAAGCCAAGGCGGGTGGATCATAAGGTCAGGAGATTGAGACCATCCTAACACAGTGAAACCCCATCTCTACTAAAAATACAAAAAATTAGTTGGGTGTGGTGGCACACGCCTGTAGTCTCAGCTACTTGGGAGGCTGGTCCAGGAGAATTGCTTGAATCTGGGAGGCAGCGATTACAGTGAGCCAAGATCAGACAACTGCACTCCAGCCTGGGCAACAGAGCAAGACTCCAACTCAAAAAAAAAAAAAAGAAAATAAAAGAAAAGAAAAACAGGAAGGCTCCACATTTGAGGTTTGTGGTGCTGGGTTTTCAGTGAAATCCCGAAGCATTTTCCGGCTTCGTTGCAGGGAATGGCTTTTGCACGATGGGGGGCGGTGCAGAAGGAAGGTAAGCATGGCCCAGTTCACAGTCCATCTGCAAATCCCCAGGCACTCTGGTTCCCTGGTTCTCTCAGGGTCCTGGAATCTGGTGCTGGTGGCCTGTCTGCCCTTCCAACTGGCCACCTGGTCCCTGTGAGCTGAACTCCGGGAACTGAGCGTGGCCAGTCCAGGCTGCCAGGGAGAGAAGGGCTTAGAAGGCTGTTCCAGGCCACAGCCAAAGGAAACGAGTTACATTCCAGGAGCTGGAGCCCAGAGGCAGGGTTGGGGAGCTGGGGGCTGGAGGTAAAGCAGTGCCCAGAATTCACAGGGCCTCCAAAGCTGGGCTGGAGTTCGGCTTTGAGCACAGAACCAACAGGGCCTGTCATGGGTCCCCTCTCCACCCCAGAATTTGGGGGCTGAATAACGGCCCTCAAAGACAACCACATCCTAAGACCTAGAACCTGTAAAGAGGTGGCCTCATGTGGCCAAAGGGACTCAGAAGACGACAGTGAATTATCTGGGTGGGCCCAATGTCATCACAAAGATCTTTACAAAAATGGCCAAGCTCGGCGCCTCACATTTGTAATGCCAACATTTTGGGAAGCCAAGGCAGGAGGATTGCTTGAGTTTAGGAGTTCAAGACCAGCCTGGGCAACATAGTGAGACCCATCTCTAAAACAACAACAACAACAAAATTGAAATTAGCCAGGCGTGATGGTGCAGGCCTGTAGTCTCAGCTACTTGAAAGGCTGAAGTGGGAGGATTATTTGAATCTGGGAGGTCGAGGTTGCGGTTAGCTGAGATCGTGCCACTGCACTCCACCTGGGTGACAGAGCAAGACCCTGTCTCATAAGATTAAAAAAGGGCTGGGTGCTGTGGCTCACGCCTAAAATCCCAGCACTTTGGGAGGCTGAGGTGGGTAGATTGCCTGAGCTCAGGAGTTTGAGACCACCCTGGGCAACATGGTGAAACGCCATCTCTAGTAAAAATACAAAAACTGACCAGGCGTGGTGGCAGGTGCCTATAGTCGCAGCTACTCAGGAGGCTGAGGCAGGAGAATCGCTTGAACCAGGGAGGCAGAAATTGCAGTGAGGCAAGATCACAGTCTTGAGACAGAGCAAGACTCTGTCTCAGTCAATCAATCAATCAATCAAATTTAAAAAGAAAGAGGGAGCTGAGAGGGTCAGAATCAGAGAAGGAAAGGTGCCGATGGAAGCGGGGTTTGGAGTGATGCAAGGAACGCCTCAAGGTAAGGAATGCAGGTGGCCCCTGTTTGCTGGGAAAGGTGAGGGCACGGACCCTTCCCTGGAGCCTC